ACATTGACTCCACTCTCATATCAGTCTCAACCATGGATCACACTGTTACGATATTTTGCATGCATTGGAGGACATAGTATATTATCCATTCATTGTAACATCTGGCATTGATTTGAGCTCTGATAATGGTGACAAAAGTTGTGAACCTCTCTCAGCTGTGGCACAGGTGTCAATGGAAGACTCCACCCTAACTAGTCTTTGACCACCCCCTCGAATGTACCAAAGCAATCAATTCTAAAGGAGTATAATCCAAAGAAGTTCGAGAGAGAAACCTCTTACAGGGATTTCAATTCCCAGTGGTATACAACACACCCCTGGATTAGCTTTGATGTGGATAAACGTCAGTGTGTAAGCTTTCCCTGCAGGAAGTTCATGTGGGATAGCTCATTCACATTCAAACATTGAATCACAAGAAAGCAATGGCAAAGTGGATCAGTTTGAAGATCAATGCAAGATGCCATACTTCTGTGTTGCATCAGTTGAATGTGGCTCATAAACAACAAATCCTCTGCAATCACAAGTATTTACGTATAATCATCAAGTACCTGATCTTTGCTGCACATCAAAAACATTGCAATATGAGGACATGAAGAGGACAAAACAAACATCAAGGAAATTTACAATATGAATATGAACAATTTCCTAGAATTATTGACCTCAGATGCAAGGATCTTTCTTGGCTCAAGGAGAAATTACAGAGTCAACTTGAGGTACATGCTCAATAGACATCGCCGTCAACCCAAAACGAGATACTAGGGACTCGATTCACATTCGAAAAGGCAAGAGTACCAAAAAGTAAACCATCCAGCCATTTGCAAGTGCTTATTGGCAAATCAACTGATACTGCATGTGTACAAACCTATAAATAACACCGCCATATCAATATATACTATTAAAGCCTCGATAAAGTACTCTGTGCAATTAACTCATGCTTCAAAGATAACGAACAAGACATTGGAGGACATTGTGCTAGACGACTCACCTTCGGATCTCAGCTTCGAAGTGGTATCAGGTTTTTATGGTATTGCTAAAGATCTTCTAGAAACCGAGAAGAACGTGTATGTAAACTCCATCGCTCAACACTTGAGCCCTCGGCTGAAGACCTTGGCAGATGTCGTTGGCAGTATGTTTCAGGATGGACTAAATGAATTACTACCTGTGCTATACAAGATAGCGACCTTCCTGACATCAGTTCCGACCACTTCATGCTTGGCAGGAAGGCCCTTCAGCGGATTGCGACGCATGAAGACCTAATTCCACACAACAATGGGACAACACCGTTTGAACAGTATTGCTATTATAAACACTGAACGAGCTTATGTTATAGAGCTTTTGAAAACTAGCTAGAGTACCCATTCCCTGGACGGAAGTTATGTAAATTCATGATTAATGAAAGGTTATCTTAGGGCATAAAAAGTTGCTTCCCTTATATGTAATTGTAAAAACCCACAAAACGCAAAATGCAAAACTGAAAATTTATATATATATATATCTCCCCACGGATCCAACAAATTTGGTGAAGGTCCATCAAGAGGGGCGAAGTAGTGGTAAAAAATGCAAAAACTATCTTAAAAACCGCAAAACTCATGGACCCAGTGAACCTCCATACCAAATTTGGTGAAGATCTATCCATAGGAGGTGAGGTAGTGGTAAAAACACCCATGAAAACCGCAAAATGCAAAACTGAAAATTTGTATGTTCCTCTCACGGACCCAATGAACCTCCATACTAGTTTTAGTGAAGATCCATCCACACTCTGCAAAGTAGGTACATGGACATACAACAGACAGTACTATTATATTCAAATAGATTATATGGATTATATCGACACATTTGGTAGTAGAAAGTGGCGAGACGCTTATTTTTTCTGAGCCTCTAATATTGGGTTTAATAGTTGTATTTAGTAACTCACATATATTGTTTCATTTCTATAATTTTTGCATATAAACATCGTGTATGTGGCACATTACACTATGTATAAATACATTGATTAGTGTTATTATCCAAATTCGGGCATTTTCTGTTGTAACATAAAATTCGGGCAAATGTTTGCTCATCGCCCCAAATGATTTGGGCATGTATGCTTATGCCAACAGGCAGTGATGTTCAAGGTCAAGTCCACTAACAACTGTTGCCTCATTTATCGACAAAGATAACTCAGCTCTCTCTTTAAAAACACATTATTATTCCAATAAGAAGATCAGGTAAGAACGTGCTTAATCTCCACTTAACCTAGTTTGCCCCTGAAGAAAGTTAAAGTTAGTAACTTGCTTGAGCACCACTATGTTCCACCAGATGATCCAGTGGTGGGATTCAAATATTTTAACAACAGGTTCTCTCACTAGCAGCATGCCATATTGACCCGATAGAGGCCAAAGATTATATGTAAAATATATTTATATTATATTATATATGTAATATATACAATTTATATTACTTTTA